AGGTATACTGTTTTGGAATTGGCCATGCCTATAGGAAAAAGGCTGTAAAACATTTACTATGTAAATAAGTGGTTTTGCACTCTTGAGCAGTAGTTTGCTTTTTCTGTGTCATTTTAAACAGCTAATTATAAGTAAAGGGACATGTTATTTATTTATGTTGTGGTGGGATGTCGGATGGCCCAATCAGTAGAGCTCTGTGCGGATACAAAATTTGTATCTGCATCCAATTCGCAAACATGGTCTGCGATATCCGCATCCGTGGATGTGGATATCTGTGGATATAAAGCGGATATCCACAGATTTGGGGCTCTAACAATCAGGTTTAGAGCCATATTTTGCTAATAGAGAGTGTTGCAGACTTGGCTGAGTCCCTCTAGTGGACTATCACCAGTCTGTTGTAATTGGACCCAACCTTTGGATACCATGTGCTTCCAAGCCAGCTGGGTCTGGGCAGACTCCAGGCACCGTATGTCACTGTCTGTCATCTTTCCTTGGGATGTGGGACTCCATAGTCCTATTGCCCTGGGCCCCGAATCCAGTGCCGGGACTTCCCATCCCTGCCCAGTCACTTATGCATGCTCCCCTAGCACCTAGCTGTGGGTGCTCTGGCTTACAGTTTAACCCTTCAGGAACCATGTGGCAGTTAAAGCAAGGAACATGGGCTTTGCAACAGGAGTTTCTTAACCACAGTAAGATTTACTCCTAAAGCATACAAGAGTTACAGATTTTTAGGAAAAAACAAAAATGTATATGTTATCTTCCCCCACCTCTGTGTTCACCCCTTCTGGTGAGGCCTAGGCCACTCATTGTGTCATGAGGTAGGTATCTCTGCCTTCTGCAGGCCTTTCGCTGCCTGGGGATGGTTGGCTTGAGGAGAGAGGGAGCTGAGAGCAGATCCTGATCTTAAACAAGGTTTCTGCCCTTTCTGTCAGGTGATGAACTGATCAACAGCAGAACTCCCGTTGGGTGGTTAGTAAGTCCCAGCCACTCTGGAGTTCAAATTGGGAAAACCTGGCTCGTCTCTATAGCAAAACCGTTGTGGGGCTGGACCCTTTACTTGGAAGACTATCACAGTTGATGACTCTTGTGTTAGCTTTTCAGGGAGGTGTCCAGTGTTGCAATAAGCTGCCATTGGTCTGTCCTTGATGGCTCTAGGCAGCTACGGTTATATACTCAAAATGAGAATTTGAAAGTCCCAGTTTGATACTGACATACACCAATCCATCAAATATGGTTCCTGTCCTGAAGAATGAGAGGTTCCTAAGAAGGGGAAAACACTGACCCGCTGAGTTGGATTGAGCTGATATCTATCAAGAACAAGTTTGATTTGTGCTGGATTGTCCCAAGAGAATGTGAATAAAGCTGCCAGCTGCCTAAAGCTGGGGGAGGAAGAATCTAGCTTTGTAGTGAGACCCTTGTAGGACTGTGATTGGCCAACTTATTTGATTTTTATTTATCTGGTTCTGATGATATGCCTGTAAAATCAAAGCCTGGCAACTTTAAAATGCTGCAGCTCGTTAAATCTATCAACTGTGACTTAGCCATTGTGTGAAATTTGTTCTTCCCCCTGATGGTGATGGAACAAATGACTTCACTGCACGTTAAGTGGTGGGGGCCGTTGTCTGGCTTTTAGGAAAAGGTGTGTGGCCCCTTTAAGGTCTGGATGGCCAGAATGACTTGCTGCAGCAAGAGGATGGGGTCCACCTGTCAGACTTGGGAGCTGATGCATTTTTGGCTGATATCAAAGAGGGTATTGATACATGGGGGGAGGCTGCCAAGCTAATTGCTGGCGCTTCCTTGTGGTGGATGTCCAGTGCAGGTTTTCCATAGGGAAGGGATAAAGTGATCAGATGGAATGAACTGGGAAAGAATTTAAGGGAGGCATTCTTTAAAGGAATGGAAAGGGGGGGGGGGAGGTTTCAGGGCTCCTATGACTGGTACAGTGGGGAACTAATCCCCCTCTTTTTAGCCCCCCTTAACCATCATTTCAGGGGTGGGAGTGGCGAGGTCCCAGTAGCGGGTAGGCTGGGGACTAGGATGAATAAAGGAGGAGGGCTGGCACCACCCCCGCCCCCTCCCCCTCCCCCCAGTATATATAAATGATTCTAGAACAGTGGTTCCCAAACTTTAACAACCTGTGAACCCCTTTCACTAAAATGTCAAGTCTCATGACCCCCCTCCTAAAAATATTTCCAGGGATTTTCTCCTTTACCTGAGTATAAATTATAAAAGCAGTGATCTTGGAAATATAAAATTTGTTTTTATGACATGCTTATTACACACTGTTTATTATTAATTATTATTTATCATTACAGTATTTTTATAACATTATGAAAATGGCAACACTCTTCCAAGATCTCACTTTCGTAGCTTGTATCATTTTGAATAAGCCTGTTATAAGACAGGGCTCCTATGTTTCATCAAGGAGTATCAGATGTGAAACAAGCATGAAGGTATTTAAGAAGCCAACTTAAAGAGTTCCTCCTACTCAAGCATTTAAGTCTTGAGCAATCCAGGCAAACAATGCACGTTACAGCAAAGCTTAAACTTGTTCTTCATAATAATTTTAAAAATAATACTAGCTGCCTATTTAATTTTAAAAACAGCAAAAAATATCCATCTCCCTTTTCATTTCTTATAAGATTGAAGATTAAATCTCAGTGTGATAGATATGCTTGCTTTGATCTGCTTAGCTCTTGGAAGTCCAGGGGCTCCAGGCTGCTGGCCCCACGGTGACTGGGGTTCCTAGGGACAGCTCTGTCTGCCATTAAGGAATTTTTTCCCCGAGAACCCCCTGTAACATGTCACAAACCCCCAGGGGTTCATGAACCCCAGTTTGGGAACCACTGTTCTAGAATTACCTGCACTGTATGCTGCTATCTGCTCGTTATTTCCTGACATTTAAGAATAAAGTTGTGGCCTAATTAATCCACATCTTGTTGTCTCCTGTTTGTCTTCCAGCATAGCCGGACAATGGAAGTGGTAAATGTGATTTTTATACCCTTCTCACTTACTGAAGAAAGCTGCTCAGTGTACATCTAACTTCAAAAATATGGACTAGATGCTTTCCTTTTGCTATAAGAGCCTCATAAACCTTAATGGTTTGCTTGAGCATTGAATGAGGGTGGGGTTTGTTGTATCAGTCTTGCCTGATCTCTTAACATAAGCGTGGTCTCATGTGTAGCTCGTACTTCGATGGAAGGATATTTAATAGGTGTGCTCCTTTCTCTGAATCGTTATTAAACTGATGTCCCAATATTGTATTGGAGGTCATTTTGTGACTGGAGGTGCTGTCTTTCAGATGAGGCTTAAAACTAAGGTCCTAGCTGACAGCCTGTGACCTCGTAAACACCCATGGCACTTTTTTTTCCCTTTGGCAAGGGTAAGAAAAAGAGGTCCTGACTTTCTGCCTTAAATCTTTCTGAATAATAAAACTTTCTAACTAAAGTTGGAGAGAAATTTTTTCAGGGCATAGTGTCCTTCCATCTTTGTCCTAAACTGTTATATACCATAGCATAGCTACATGCTTGTTTTTAATAGCTACTATTGTCATACCAGAGAGATCTGTTTTTCTGTCCCGGTGGAAGATATAATTGTAATTCATAAATCTTAGTACTACTGGATTTAAAAAAAAAAACACTTAGTTTTTATACTGCTGATCCTTCATCGTCAAGGATTCTTCAGTTAAAAACTGTACTGAAGGTCTTTAATAATAAACATCTTTAAATAAATTACAAGAGGATATAATCATTTCATAAAACATCTGAAAGGAAAAGAGGGTAGGTATCTTGGTAGGGTTGCAAGAGAGAATTTAGATTTCAAGTCCTGGGTAACTGGCCTCTAGCAACTTTAATAAGGTTGGTAAGTGTCCTGTACAGCAGTAGTTCTCAAAGCTGGTACGCCGCTTGTTCAGGGAAAGCCCCTGGCGGGCCGGGCCGGTTTGTTTACCTGCTGCGTCCGCAGGTTCGGCTGATCGTGGCTCCCACTGGCCACGGTTCGCCACTCCAGACCAATGGGGGCTGCGGGAAGCAGCATCCAGTACGTCCCTTGGCCCATGCCGCTTCCCGCAGCCCCTATTGGCCTGGAGCGGGGAACCGCGGCCAGTGGGAGCCGCAATCGGCTGAACCTGCAGACACAGCAGGTAAACAAA